GGAATCCTGGCCTCTCCAGTCCATTCACAAAGAGCAAAACCAGTCTGAACTTCTCTGTTCCCATCTATCCTTCTCCCTCTTTTGTATTCCTCCCCCTTCTCTCTCTCTCTCTCTCTCTCTCTCTTTCTCTCCTGTAAATTTTCCTGGTTAACACTTTTTATTCCAGATTTCTTTTTTCTGTTTCTTTCCCCCTGTTGCACCTTTTGTACTAATTAATCTCTCTTCCTCCTCCCCTAATTATCCCAGCTCTCCTTCCCCTTTTTTTAATTGCTCCTATTTCCGTGACCCTTTTTTTTTTTTTATTATTCCCCCTCTCTCTCTCTCAGACACTAACTTAGCCTTTTGTCAGGACTTAAAGACTAATTTACTTTGCTGCCGTAAAGGTCTGGCTTTTCTCCAGCATTTGTTTCCATGAATCAAACTGACTGGAGTTGATAGTGTGGAAAAGAAAAAAGTAGAGTGTTTTATTTTTCTTTTCCTCTTGCATTAGCTTTCTGTCGTGTTTTTAAAAAATAGTCTTTTATCATTCCGAACGGATCTGCTGATAAATCCAATCAGACATGGATGCTGTGGCTCCGTCGTTCCCTGCTGATTAGACGTTGAGCGATTCATTTCATCATCTGTGAAGAACATCTGGGTTCTCTGTAGAGGACGGTCAATTCTGTTTATTACAAAAGATTCAATTAGAAAACCATCCATTCGTCATTGGTTCCCAAGGTTGGGAGCAGCAAGTAGGGACGACTTCAAACTATTTTTTAATGTCCAATGACCAATACTGCAACTTGAATTTACCAATACCATTATTAATTTGATATCTTCATTTCTCCAGCTGTGCACCGAGGGCTGCTGTTGCTAAAGCGATGATGTTCCTGTTTATGGCATGTCACGCAAAGCTAAGTTGAGCGGCAAACTTTTTGAGTCATATTTTTTTCCACACCATCTATTGGGAAAACGTGGACATTGCAGGGATAGGTTGATCTGAATAAATTATTTTATTTAAGTTTGGCGGTCTGGATTAAACCCTTGGGCCTTAGTTTGCCCATGATTATAGTTTTTTATTTCTGAAGTTTGACCAATATATGACCGATACCAATCCTGAGTATCAGAGTGAGCCATTTCAAGCAGCAAGGCAAATAATTGTAAACAATAGTCGGCAGAAAAGTTTGTGAACCACTGACCTTCATAGACATCAAAGGGGAAGACCACCCTGTTTATTAATTTGGGTCGTTTGTTCCTTGAGTCCTTTGGTGTTCCGTTGTGGGACTTTGGCTTGTCCTGAGAACAGACTACAGACAGCACAGTCTGTTCCTCTCTTTCTACTGTGAAAATGTAATACTTCCTCTGATGATTCTTTCTCATTCAGCCACACTCTTTTCATCTTCTCTGTCTCCCGGAGACTCTTTTTCCTCCTGTGGGAATGATTTTCTCTTCCAGTGTTCCCACTGGTCTGTGTCACAGTGTGAATAATGTTCTGGAAATGGCCTCGGACAGAGCGTCTCCTGGTCTGCACCGGGCACTTCCCCAAACACATCACACACATCACACAGCCACACACTGACACACTGTGCTGTAACCGTGTCAAGAACTTATACTGTAAGTCATGTTTACTGTGGATGTTGGGGATATTCTGTGGAGCGTGTGATCAGCTGTGTGTCCTGGACATTACAATGAAGGATGTTTCTTTGCCCCTTCCTCCTCCTCCTCCTCCTCCTCCTCCTCCTCCTCTCTCCCCCTCCCTCCTCCACAGTGGATTCACTATTGAACTGGCCTCTGCGCTGACAGTCGTGTTGGCTTCCAATATCGGAATCCCTGTCAGTACCACACACTGCAAGGTATGGCTGAGTGGACCAGCAGCTGGTTTCTAACTTACCCCACAGGTTGTCTTCAGGGGACAGGGAGTTCACACTGCCCCCCCATACCCCTCCCCAGGGTGCTGTGCCTCAATCCCACTCCCCCACTTATGTTAATGGAAATCTTTGTTTACCATATTTTATATTATTTAACTTTAAAAGTCAGATGCAGCGAAAACAGGAAGTGGCCACACAACAAAAATTGATTTGTTTTTTGTTTTGTTTTTAATTGAGGTTTGTTTTTCATCACCTTTTGTATCAGGTCCCAATACGATTAAAAAAAAAATCAAAACAAGAATGTAGCCAAATTTAGCTAACCCCCCGTATTGGCCCAATGTTAGCATTCTTACTGCACCCAAGAGCACTACATCCCCTGGGCAGCAGTGTGAAGCCCCTCCCCCCCTGTTCATTACAGGGTCATCGTATCATCCAGAAGTGAACATGAACCAGATCCTGCGGCTCCAGCTCTCCTCCTCCTCCTCCTCCTCCTCCGTCCTCCTTAACACGATGTCTCATTCTCTGTTTCATTTTACCAACTCTTTTCCATTTTTGCCCTTTCACCACTAGCATGGTGTGGTATGTGGGTACTCCACCCTCCTGTGCTTGGCTGCAAGCAGAACCTCCACCTCCTCCTCCCCCAGCCACCGGCCTCTCCTCCCTTCACCCTCACCTGTCTCACCTGGTTTCTACTTTTTTTCTCCCCCTCTCCATCTATCTCTCTGTTGTCTCTCCACTCGTCTGTCTTCACAGCGGATTTTGCATTGAAGTAATGAGTGCGCTAACAGTGCTTGTTGCATCAAATGTGGGCATCCCAATAAGCTCCACCCACTGCAAGGTATTGGAGTCATTGGTAGTGAAGCTGGCCCAGTGGGAGCGCCCCCTGGTGCTCTATCGCTTCACCTGTAGTTCAATGCCAATCACAACTCCTTAGTTGAGGTTTTGAGCTGTCGTGCAGTTTTTCTTCAGAATTAAACCTTTCTATCCTGAAATAATCTTCAGGGAAACTCTGTGAAAGCTACTAGCAGCTAGCTTATTAGCTAATCTAGTTATCTGCTAGTTAGCTAGTAGCTAAGTAGAAGCTAATTCTCAACCAGGTTAAATGTTTTCCAACAAGGTTTGACAGCTTGGCCACTCTATGGAGGAGGCATGGTGGCCCCACGCCCCAGATATTTGTTTGTTGTTTTTGTAGATGCTGTTTTACATGAGCTAATGTGCTACTATACTACTATTATCAAAATGTCAAACCTGTGTAAGAATTCCTTTTAAATTAGTAAATATCTTTTTATTTTTATCTCTTTTTTTTTTTTTTTTACTGTTATCAGTGCTTTAACGTTCTGATGAAATGTCTGATGGGAAGCTGCACGAGTCAAAACTGGTATCTAATTGCTGAGATGATCACTTTATATCTAAACATCAACATCGCCATCCATACCTTATTTTTTTTCTTTCTCTTCTTCTTCTCCACTCAAAAACAAACCCTTTGTTTTCTTTTTCCCTAAAACCTCAGATAATTCCCTGCTTTGCATAAATATGTAACGTACTGATGTTTAAAACACTAAAGTCACGATGGTGATTTGATATGATTTACATTATTTGTTATATATATATATACATTGTTTGCCAGGAGTCGGCGGATGCTGCTGGACCAAAAAAATAATAAATTTCTGCTGACTCACAGTCACACACTGTGATTTTTATTTTAGGTGATTTATTATAAAAGGCCGAGCACATAAAACTTTTTTTTTCTTCATAATTTACTTATAAGGCATGTAAAATAGAAGATAATGTTGTAATTGTATTGTACTAATAACATTAAGGATCACTATTGTTATGATTATTAGATTGCTAATAATCATAATAATGCCTATTATCCATAATAATTTTAAAATGTTATTAGTAGTACTAACCAGTCCACTGACCCAAAAAAGTATCCTCGTGATCCACTTTTGGGCCACGACCCACCATTTGATAAACAATGTTACAAATCAAGAGGCTGTGGAACGGTCCTGGACCTTAGGTTGTCTAATTGACACTCTTGTCCAGCAGCATCCGTGGACGACTGCCAGATGTTTGTGGGAGTGTGAAGTGTTTGTTGGAGTGAGGGATTGTGGGAAGGCATTTTGGTTTAGTCTCAACGCAGTTCACTTCTGTGAACCGTTTACCTGATTTCCCCCTCTAATTGTGAGGAGGTTAAACCAAATTGTTGTTCAGCCTTCATATATGTGTGTGTGTGTGTGTGTGTGTGTGTTTGTTTGTGCAGAGACTCATTGTTTCTAAAGCTCTGCAGCGTAAACACAGGTCACACACTGCAGTTCTGGCGTCGCTGCTCTGCTGCATACCTAAATTCCTACCGACGGCTGTAAAACAAAAAACTATAGACGTTTGTGGAGAATCAGGTCTCAAACAGTCTTTGACTCAGTCGACAAATTTCTCCGTGCAGTCAGTGACTTTACTGTTGACAAATTCAGTGATCCTTTAAATTGGCAGGTGAAGGGTTAACGTCTGCCATACCTGCATTGTTATCAGAGCTGAAACCTGTCTCTGCACATTCCACACCAACGCACACTGAAATGTTTTCTCCAGATTATTCTGTTGTTCCCTGAGTTTTGACGTTTCCTTAAGAAGAAGGTGAGTGACGTCCTCGGCCGTGGAGGTCTGACATTTTCAGTTTATGTTTGGAGGAGTTTCCATTCTGTCCAGCTGCCAGTGTCAGACTCTCTCCACGGCCCATGTCAGATGAGGAGTGTAACGTTGACCACTAATGTAATCTGCTTGCTCTTACTAACACTGATGTCTTGAGAGAGACAGAGCTAAAGGCTGCGTACGGGCTTTTCTGTTCACACACTGTTTAGAAGAAAACGAATTTAAAAAAATAACATGTTCCATAATGGAGAATTCGACAGAAGAAAATCAGTGGCATAAAAAAAAATGACAGTTGACACCTAAAAAAAAAGAAGAAATGTTCAAGTGTAAACGCATCCCATTCACTTCCGTGACATTTTCTTAAAATACGGTGTTAGTGCCACCTAGTGGAGACGAATGACAACTGCAGTTATAATGTCGACAGCGGCCATAAATAATAACTTTGATTTCTATAGAATTTAAATTAATAAATCAAATAAGTCATTTGAAGTTGTTTTTTTTTTAGTCTTTTTATCAGATTTTCTTTAATCATCGGCACAATTCCATTTCATCAGAGGAAATATTTCCCCACATTTAATGTTATTTGAAATGGACCTGGAACATATTTCACTTGATCCGTTGAAATTGAAAATTGACCTCTTAAGAAAAGCCTGGACGAACCTTCAGCTCCTCTGTGTTTTTTCTCATTTGAAACTTTTCCACTGCTGATTGTTTTCATCCCCATCCCTATCCCCCCCCCTGCCTCCCCTCCCTCTGCTGCTTATGCAGGTCGGCTCTGTCGTAGCTGTGGGTTGGATCCGCTCCAAGAAAGCCGTGGATTGGCACCTTTTCCGAAACATCTTTCTGGCGTGGTTCGTCACGGTGCCCGTGGCCGGCCTGTTCAGCGCCGCCGTCATGGCCTTGTTCGTGTACGGCATCCTGCCCTTCGTCTGAGAGCGCGTCACTGGAGTGCCGCAAATGAGGAAAGGAAAAAGAGTGAGGAGTGATGGTGGACAGAGTGGCACGGGTGGTGGAACTTGGTTGTACCGTAGGTATGAGGAGGGTTGCCCAGCTGTGGAGTCCAGAGATCTGCTTTTAGAATCTGTTCTTATTTGGGTTCAAGAGAAGGAATTTGAACGTCATGACGATCTGCTGTACATACAAAAAGAGAAACCATATCAATGACCATCAAATTAAAAAAAAAAGTCAAATATCATCAAAAAAGTCATGACTCCAACAACAAATATGAAATACAAACATGACTAAACGGATGTTTAATCTTTTTGCCTGCTGCTCAAATGCTCATTATTATGGTATCATTACTATAATTATTATTATTATTCTAAAATGCAAGAAAGCATCACTGTCAGAGTCCACACCGAGTACAGCTGTGGTCAGACAGACAGGACGCCTCGGGGAGAGAGGGTTAGAGGGACTGTCACTCTGCTTTATTTTCCATGTGATATCATAGAAACTTGATTTGCTAAAGAGTTGATTTTTTTTTTTTTTTTTTTGTCAAAAGCTCCAGTATGTTTTTAGAGATGGATCTCATATTTTTAAAATGATGTATTTTACTGTAATTTGTACTGTAAATACTGTCCTTAATAGTTCTGGGGGGGAGGGAGTCGTGGAGATTGTGGTTTGTATTTAATGTTGTGAGGGGGATGCAGGGGATTCCAACTTTCATGATATCATATCAGTGTGTCTCAGTCCAGACCCTCAGAGAAGAGAAAAACCAGTTCATAACACACACACACTAATGTCAGACACACCGCTTCTCCAGCAGGTGGCACAAGTCTACTAGAGTATTAAGAGAAAAAAAAAAGGTATAACTGGAGACACTTTTTTTTTTCACACTTTTTTCTGTCAGTATACACAGGTACACGTGTCAGTATTTCATGAGTAAGAATACGGTTGCTCCCGTAAAAAAAGCAACACAATGCCATAGTAAGCTGTAATATTGCTATACCAGCCAATTATACTGCAGTAATAAGGTCGAGGAATACAGTACAATGATCAAAATATGAATATGATAATACATTTGTCCAGACTGATGTAGTAATCTGATGTTTCGGCTCCAAAAGTATAACGTAGAGTTGGCCTGAATGCTTGTAAACACTGAGCATTAAGCTTAAAAAAATCCCATCACTTGGTCAAAAATACCAGAAGATAATAGATCCCTATTATCAGGAGTGGCCACAGCAGTGGCCCACATAGACCACCAATGTGGGCAGTATTGAAGTCCAACCATTTACTTGATCAAAAATGATTACAATACAAAAACAAGAAGTACGTTAAGACTTTATGGATAATCCCATTAGCCACATAATGTGCAGTGAGGCTGCCCTCTGGTGGATGCTGTAGCGCTGTTGGTCTGTGCAACCAGACATATAATAGGACTTATAATAGGGTTATAATAGGACTTTACTCCCACATGGTGTGTTTGCCTGATTGGTTTTTATCATTAACCATCAAGTAAAATGATGTAAAAAATATTAGGTTTTTCAATTTGAACAAAATTGGTCCACTCATGAAAAGAAAGGGAAAATACCAGTAGAGGGCAGTAGTCCTCCCATCCACACACTACTACAGGCCCCAGTGACTGTCGGCCTAATGACATTGTATCGAATTCTTTCATTCTACCTTTTAAACCCGTCTGGGTCACCGTGGCCACATCGTGTCATATCAAACACTACAGATACCGTTGAACTTTCACCTCTACCTGTAGCTCCACAAAACTGACTATCAGTGTTTTATGTGTAGTACTCATTAACTTGTTTTGACTGTTGAAGTCTGAGCCTCTGTGCTAAAGGTTAGCTTAACCTCCGTGGGTTGAAGCTTAACCCACACAGGGTTTTTAAAGGCTGCTCCTCTCATGTAAAAAAACAAACAAACAAAAAAATATCACACCACATCTTAGATCTTATCATTTAAATAGGAACGGTGGGGGTGGGGAGGGTCATGGGGGGTTGTACTGATAATCACCAGCTTTTAACAAGGTCACCTGACCTGTAGATGAACAAAGTCGAAAGCTTTTTTTTTTTTTTAATTATTTGAACAAACCCGATGCCAGGTGTTGCAACTTCTTTTTTTTTCTTGTGGTGTGTTTCCTAATTTCATTTTTTTCTCTCATGAACAAATCTATGCTTAAGTAACCACTTGCCTTGTAATATTGTGTTCATCTCTGTTCGGATAATTAAATACTGTGTTGTTTACATGGTAACCAAATTGTAGAGTATCTGAGGATGAAACAAATACTGTTGCCTAACGATGCCAATGAAAGACGAAACATTAACCATGAATTAATAAGTGCGAGTCAAAAAAAAGAAAAAAAAAGAAAAAACCTGAAGTGTCTATTAGAGGGAGCCGGTGTGACTTTTTAGTTGTTTGCGTGAGTAGCTTTGCTAATCAAGATGAGCTATGACACTGTAACGTGTTAACACTACATGTGTGGGTGCAATGAAGAGAGTCACTAAAGTAAATAACATCCAGACTATATATATTTTTCTACCATATCTGAGTTTTAACCTAAGGGTGAGTTGTGCAACATTTGTGGAAACTCTGGGTTCGAATGCGACAGGAATGAGTTGACAGTGATGATGAGGAGAGGGGGCGGTCTTATTCCAGGGTGTGTTTGACCCTGCTGATGCCATGCCAGACTCACTGTATGCCCGGTGTGTTGTTCTAACACGTAGACTGAAGTGTCGGTCATCAAAGAGATCACGTTTTCAGAATTGACCATTTTATTTTAATTTTTTTTTTTTAACTTTAGAAGACGACACTTTGTAATTTTGTTTCCTTACTCTGCTTTACTCTGAGCTGTGAGAGCAGGACAGCAGCGTTCTGAAAACACAGGGACGACAAAGTCAGAACGTTAAAGAAAAATTCTGTGTCGATGAGGGAAAAAAAAAAACTGGACTGGAAGGTGTTTGTTTTGTTGTGTTGGCAGGTTATTAGACCTTGAAACTCGGTTCATTTCACTGTACTGTTACACAGGTGACTACACGGGAGGACGTGTTGACATTCAGAGTACGTGTGTGTGTAAATTATTTCAAGTAGTTAACGAAGTCTGTCAACACATGACATGCTACACGAACTCCTTGTTTTTCATGGTCTGGAGTTTTTCCATAAAATCTGATTCTGTTTAGCACTGATTCTGGACTAGAGGTCGAATAGGAAAAAGAAAAGTAGGAAGCTAAAGGCCAGCACTAGAAATAGTTAAGATTGAATCCTGGATTTTTATTTTACTTATTGATACATTCACAATGAGGATGATTAAAGCCTCTTGATAATTGATATTTTTCACCTTGTTTAGCAAAACATAAAAATTTAATGCCATGCTAGCACGTGCTAACTGCTAATTCTTAGTTAACATAGCAATGCAGTTTATTAACCTAAACTAATAATACAATTAATTTTATGTGTATATGTACATATGTATACATACATATATGTATACATACATGTATATGGGGTTCTTATTATTATCATGGTGTATTATGGTGTAAACGGATCCGTCTGTGTGTTGATTTTAACCGCCTTCTGTGTGTTACCTGTGTAACCGCTATCTTCTGATTTACCATTCAGTCTTTCTCCTAAAAGGCCAAAAAAATGATGCACAGCTTGGGATAGAAAGTAGACAGTGGAGCATTGTTTACCTGACAAACTTTTAAAAGCAACTTTTCTCAAATGATTATCTTTAGCGCTGCTAAAATCTGTAGCTCACGGGATACCTGATTATAAAAAACCGTTAACTCCACACATTTCTGGTTGAACGGAAAGACAAATTCGGACTTGAACAAACAATACCGAAACATTCTTACCTAATCCGGTAAGAACCAGATTGAAGCGAACCTAAAAACCAAAATTTTATTGGTCGACTGAGCCGAACCGACTAATCAGCAAGCACGGTGACGTGACTCTGTCTAGATTCCGTGATTTGCTGTCAGTACGTGGGGGTATCACGCCATTTCCGAGAGTGAAGTGATTGCGTATCGATCGGATTTCAATAATTTAGAAAACATAACACCGCTAGATGGCGTAGTTTGGCATTTTCTGTGGAATAAAAACGTTTGAGACCGTTCAGCTTTCATCCAACAGGATCGGGTTTTGTGATGTAAATACCATTGAAGTTGCGTAACCGTTCTGTAGCGTTCGATCAATAAATGCAGAATGTGTCTTTTCTCTCTGAACACGGGGGATAAAACTACATTGCTCCAGTCTGTGACGTAGTAGCTCTACCTGTCCTGGTGTAACCGTAGCGCCCTCAGCTGTTGGTGGGGCCGCAGTGGCATCAGGTCAGACCTTCATCTGGATGTGACGTGTCGTCTTTAATATTCTGGTCTGTTTTCGTATTAGAATGTGCTCTTTGGCTGGCCTAGAGGTTCTACAGCTGTTTGTTGTCCTTTAACTGTCAATTGCTGTTTACCTGTCCAGTCCTGCAAATGCAAAAATTAAAACAAAAATAGATGAGAATTAAAAAAAAAAAAAAAATCATAATGAACTGTAGCCTGCTTCTACAAGATCTGAAAGCTTTTCTGATTTGCATATATCGTACTGTAATGTTTTATTTAAGATTTTAGTGAAAATGTCTGCATTAACTAAATTATGGGAATTAAAATTACAAAGGATACCCTAAAACCTAAAATTGCATTCTGTGTGTTTTTATTCTAATGTGTTTTTGTCCCTTTCTGAGCTGGGAAAATTGCAGTTGATTTTCAGGGCTGAGGGTAAAAAAAATGAGTTGTCACAGTAAAGGTTCTAAAGAGCATACACTTAAAGGTTTGTTCATTTTTTTAAATTTTTTTTAGTAGAAATGGTTTAAAGCTGAAAAGGTGCCTAAAGGTCAAGGGTGGAAACCACTGCTGAATCTGCAATTTTATAATGTTGTACTGCAGTAAAACCCAGTGTACAAGCCACAGACACAAAGACATATTGACACAAAGACATATTGGGTCTAGGTGACCCAGGGGTCACCTAGACTCAGGGGACCCAGGGACCCTCTAGGTGACCTAGACCTGAAGGACCGCACAAGGGTTAAAAATAATACAATTGTTGTATAATTGTGCAAGAATTATATTTGCCTTTTGTGCCGTTTAGTCTGTCATTAACTTAAATTTGGTTTATTTTCAAAGCTGCTCTTCTCTGAAAGACGGTGTCAGGCCTTTTAGGGCCGCTGTGATTTAGTGCTGGAGCTCAGATAATAATTAACGTCTTGGCTCAGATTGTATTTAAAGTTCCCACCACTTTGGTTGACTGAACTCTGTTTAATCAGAGGAAGCCGACCTGACCCACGGTAAGTCACTCTGTTAACATTCAGTATGTCAAACAACCTCCTGTGTTGTCACTGCAGTTGGAAAAACAACAAACCTTTTTGGAGGTTATGTCTCAGGAACCAGTGAGTGTCGTAGTACTAGAGACATGTTTTTAAGTCTGTTTGTTTTTATTTATTTGTTCATTTTCATTAATTGTAGCTTCAACTCTGAAGATGACTGGAAATATTCTCTAGATCAACGGTGTCAAACATACGGCCTGCAGTCCAAAACATGGCAGGTTGGTTTTGGACTGTGTTCTCTGTCCAAATTACTTAATACATAAATACATTGTAAATAGTTATTAATAATAAGTAATTAATTATTATAATTAATTAATAATTATAATCCATCCATCCATCCATTTTCATCGCTTATCCGTTACCGGGTCGCGGGGGCAGCAGTCTCCACCCAAATCACACTGCACCGTACCAAACCTTCCTGCGGGTGGTGAGTCCACTGGAAGGTACCAACCGCCCTAACCGGGATTCGAACTTGCCCAGGAGGTGAACCCTGGGGTTCCACACCAATGACAGAGAGATTGCCTCTGGGCCAAAGCGCCACTAATAATTATAATATTAATAATTATTAATACAATAAAATTAAATGTAGGATAGAATTAATTTTGTACATGTTCAGGATATTTATAATATTTATATTTCATTGTGTGATATGAATAAATAATATTACCTATTATACATCTTAGCATGAAAACAAAGGGAGAAAAACACAGACCAATTATTATTTATAGTTATATTATGTCATGATTGTATTGGTCTGGCCCACTTGAGGTAGTGGTGGCCAAGTTACCACTGTCTTGGTCCACACTGCTCCCCAGGCTTTCAAAATAGCTGCCCACTGTTCACTTTGGTGATGGGTTAAAAGCAAAGGTCACATTTGGTTGTGTGCAGTGGTGTTCTGTGTCACAATGACAAGGAGTTGACTTTCCTTCCTTCCACAGAACTTTGTTGTTAATCACACCAGTGTTTCCCAAACCTTTTTTCTGGAGACCCATATTTTAAAAGTCACAAACCTTTGCGACCCAAGTCAATAGACATTATTGGTAAACTCCTGGGAAACATGATGTGAGACGATCCCCAAAAAAACCTCTTGCAACCCACCGGAGGGTCACGACCTAGTCTTTGGGAAACAATGCTCTATGATGTTAGCACAAAACTTGAAACCTTTTCTTTTAGCGTCAAGTGAAAAAGTGAATTAAACAATGAAACAGACTTTAATTAAGAATTATGTACATCGCCATGACCACAGTTTTGTTCCTCCTGAATGATTTTTCTACTTTTCCTAAATAAATTCCAAGTCTATACTTCTGGAAGTACCGTCAGCAGCAGTGGACTGACCCAGAGGTCACCACAGGTCGTCATCGACCTTCACCTCACCTCTTCCTCTCTTCTCCTTCCTGGCTGGCTGCAGGTTAATGTTGTTGGTGACATCGCCTGTGGATATTAAGATGTTTGAGAAGATGATAGGACTAGTGTTTATTAGTTTGTACACGGCGAACAGGAAGTTAGCCACAGACAGACGCAGAGAACCAGAGAGCAGCGCTGGGTTAGTTCATTTCCATTCAAAACATGTTTATTGTCCTCCAAACCGAAAGGTTTACCCTGTCGTTTTGGCTCCTCTGCTGAGCCAAAAAAAACCTTACATTTGCATTTCTTCAGGTAGCAGTGGAGGCAAACAAAGACCGGGTTTCTGACTGAGAAATCAATGGAAAGAGACATTTGAGATTCTCTCCTTCAAGTCACATGAATTAGCTTTGCATTCATGTAGTAATGGAGAGAGGGTTTGTTTCAGAAAGTGGGAAGAGGTGAGGAGCATCTAGTCATCCTTGAAACGGACACAGAGGGAGGGTAAAACTAAAGGTAGACCAGGGGTTGAGACGTTTGTCCAGATTTAAAAAATAATAAAACCTATTGAGTGTTTTGCCTTCAAAACTTGTGACTTGCCTTTACGTAGAGCTGTAGTGTACACAAACAGACACCGGATATTCAATTTTAAAACCAAAGTGCCCACAGTCGATATAAAAAGAGGTCACATGACCCGGAACAAGTGATGTCATGTAAGGTTGGTAATTGGTGAGAGTGGAGATGGGAGGAGCCAATCAACGTCTGTCCTCATATGTCTGTGCAGTACTAGAGAAACACTTACAGGTGGCGCAGAGCACCATGAAGTTATAAGACATGTACCGCCCCCTCCTGGTGACTGTGCAGTTAAAACGGGCACGTGGTGATTCAGGCTCATGCTTAAGTAGCGGTAATCCTTCCGAGCACTTTTTCTGTGTCATTAATATCATTAATAACTATGAATGGAAGATCTCCGTCCGCTTGCTCCCCCCTGGGGTGAGTGGGTGTATGACGTCTTCTCTCTCTTCAACAACTAACTACTCTCTGCTTCTTATGCTAAAATGGACTCCGGTTATGTGATCTTGATTATCAGCGTTCATATAGATTTTTGTATAATATTTATATAGTTATTTGTCTCTCTCTCTCTCCCACACACACACACGCACGCACACATCACACACTCACTAGAACATTCTCCCGTCTCACTACTTATTTTCAATGTACACAACGTAATAAACATGGTGTTGATGTGTGGGGGTGTGAGAGAGGTAGGGGAGGAGGGGGCGGCGACAGAGCTGAAAAAACAATCACTGAGGGGGGAAAAAATGAAGCCAAAAAAATAATGAAAAAAAAAACTGCAGTTTTTTTTTTTGTTATCCATTGGCAGTTGGACTGACTCAGACTCCGTCAGCCAGTAACAATGGTGGACTGAGGGGAGGGAGTGGCCATGTCATCAAAGGGGAGGTGCCGGGGGCTCTTTCTTCATAGGTGACATTTTGGGCATCGGTTTCATCTCTGTGAGATTCAGGTTCTCCAGTGCCAGGTCCAAGGTCATGACCTCAACACAGCCCATCGCCTCGAAGTCGGCGAAGTTCCGTAACGAGTCGTGGCAGTCGTCCTCGGAAGAGGAGGAGGCCAACGTGTCCTTGTTGGGCAGCAGTGTGGACAGGAGCAGCTCCGTCACAAACAGGCTGCGGTCGGCCCACTGGGCCTCATACAGCTGACGCTCGGCCTCCGACAGCCGGGGTTCACTCAACCTGCAAAAGAGAGGTGTGTTTAAAAAAAATCAAAACCTGAAAATAACCGACTTTCTATATTCAACTTAATTAATTTACTTTAATATAGGAATGAGGGACAACACAGACAGGAAGGTTTGGAGAAAAAGCTAGAGAAGCCAGATTGAGATGGTTTGGACATGTGCAGAGGAGGGACAGTGGATACATTGGTAGAAGAATGTTAGAGATGGAGCTACCAGGTAGGAGAAAGAGGAAGACCAAAGAGGAGATATATGGATGCAGTGAGGGAGGACATGCAGATAGTTGGAGTCAGAGTAGAAGATACAGAGAACAGAGAGAGATGGAAATCAATGATTCACTGTGGCAACACCTGAAAAAAGGGACAAAGACTTTAATATCCACGACGTTTAAGGTCCAATGTGTAAACATCAGAGGTTTCTAACTAACATTTCAAAAATAAAATAAAGAACAAACAACTGGGTTACTATACACAGTGCAGAGGTGTTCAAAAGGCAGTTTGCAGCCCCTACAGACACCACTGATGTTGGGAAGGGAGTTTGTGATTTTTTTTTTCCAGGTCGATCACTGAATATGACAATTCTTTGAAAATATTCTTTCCACAAATGTAAATGTCTGTGATTAAAACTGACACCATCTCAACAATTAAAAAAAAAAAGTCTGTTCATTTTCATCATAGCTCAGTATTGGCAGCCTGACACATGTAAAACTTTGTTTAAACCAGTGGTCCTCAATTATTCTGTCATGCCCCCCCCACCCTTGGGGACAGAAATGTTTTCACACACCACCCCCCCGACCCACACCCCATGAGAATTGAAATACTATTGAGAACCTGATAACATGTATATTTTTATCTGTACAAACCACTGTATGAGTTTCTGCCGCCTAGTGACTGGAGGCTTGTTATCATTCAAGCATTACAGCAGTGGTTCACTGATGTCCAGCGCGCCATATTCCACTGGAAGCCCCTCATGACCCCCCTGGGAGCCCTCAGTAGGGCCCTCCCCACTATTTGAGAAGTACTGCTTTAAACCAAAGACAATTTAAATGTAACAGAAAATGAAGAAAACCAAATATTCTTCTATGAAAACTGATTATATAGTTGTTTTTATAAACATAATAATATAATATATGGCAGTTATGATATGTTAATCATTCATCAGAATCAAACTGTTCTGTAGTTTTCTGCGGCTGATAGGAAGAATAAAAGAAGAATTAAAAGAAAGAATTAAAAAAGAAATCAGATTAATTGCTAACAAAATAATCTTTTATTAATTAATCTCAACGGTGAGGAAATAATAGTAACATTTTTTTCATCATTCCTGTTTCAAACTAGACTTCTACCTGCTGAGGAGAAACTGGGAGTTATGTGCAGTGTGCTGTGTGTTGGACTCAGCAGGACCGTGGTTAGGACTGGAGTTTCTGTTGTGGTTGGCACCGGGGTTGGTGTTTGCGGCCACTGAGTTGGGATTAAGGATGGCGTTGGCTCGACCAGCGCCCCGGCTGGCGTTTCGTGCAGATTCCAGCTGCTGCCGTGCTGCCTGTGCCTGCTGACGCTCCAACTGGAGCTGCATCTGTAGCTGTTGGAGCTGGGAAGCCGAGGGCCCCGAACTGAGCTGACCTCCAGCTGAACGTCTCACCCCTGACAACTGGGAAAGAAGCTCTGGAGGAGGAATAGAAGGAGGAGGAGGAGTCAGACGATTGATGACAGACGTAAAATCTCACGATAAAGGAAAAAGAATTGGACTGTTTACACGTGTTTGGCCCGTGGCCCGGTTGTGGACCGTGAGCCACCCTTTGACAGACAGATTTATAATGTTGCTCAATGTTTAGACCAGTGTTTCCCAAACTATTTTTCTGGGGACCCATATTTTAAAAGTCACAAAGCTTTGCTGGGAAACTCCTGGGAAACATGATTCGAGACGACCCAGAAAAAAAAAAAATCTCTTGCAACCCACCTGAGGGTCGCGACCCAGTCTTTGGGAAACAATGGTTAAGACCTTATTCAAGTAGCAACATCTTTTCTGAAGCTGTTAATGCTGAGGGTAAATACATTTCAAATATATATAATAAATATATAAATGGATGTTTCCTTTAGAGTCGATGACTAAAAGATGTGGTTTGGCAACACATTCGTTTCTTCTTCTTCTTTTTCTTTCGGCTTTGTCCCCTTTTTTTTTCAGGGTTTGCCACAGCATATCATTGATTTCCATCTCTCCCTGTTCTCTGCATCTTCTACTCTGACTCCAACTATCTGCATGTCCTCCCTCACTGCATCCATATATCTCCTCTTTGGTCTTCCTCTCTTTCTCCTCCCTGGTAGCTCCATCTCTAACATTCTTCTACCAATGTATCCACTGTTCCTCCTCTGCACATGTCCAAACCATCTCAATCTGGCTTCTCTAGCTTTTTCTCCAAACCTTCCTGTCTGTGTTGTTCCTCTAATGACCTCATTCCTGATCCTGTCCATTCTTGTCACTCCTGAAGAGAATCTTAGCATCTTTAACTCTGTCACCTCCAGCTCCGCCGCCTGTCTTCTGCCTATTGCTACCATCTCTAAACCATACATCATGGCTGGTCTCACCACCGTCCTGTAAACCTTTCCCTTCACCTTAGCTGACACTCTTCTGTCACAGATCACTCCTGACACTTTTCTCCAGCTGTTCCATCCTGCCTGTACTCTATTCTTCACCTCTCTTCCACAGTCTCCGCTGCTCACATTCAACATTCATTTAAAGATTTCCAATTCTCAGAGATCTCTTGTTCCATTTGTAGCCAAATCACTACTGTAAATACATTGGGGCAGCTGCAGTCTTTTTAGTTTTTATTTCTCCGTTAGCGCTGCCAGACATGAGCGTTAGAGACAGAACAGTCAGAGCAGGAGGAAGGAAGACAGAAATAAACAGAAAAATACCCCACATGTGCTGCCACAGCATAAATACTAAGCCTTTTGAAAGGATTGACCTTCTGTTGAACACGGCACATGCTGCCCTGCAGCAGAGACAGCCTGACCGCCATGGAGCTGAACTGATGCAGATGAAAATGGAAAAAGACTTGCGAAAACACCTCAGGGACCAAGACCAGCCTCAGACCTGGACTGTGATTCAAGGTTTTGTTTTCACCTCAAAGAAACAAGAGCAGGTTCTGGAACATTCTGTTCAGATTGACATATTCATTAGGTGTAACGGTACCGTACGAGTAATTATACGACGTTACATAGAAAAAATGTGTCGCCGGTATTCAACATCATGTGGGGAATGCTGGGAATAAGAACTAAATGCTAAATAATGTTAGTTAGTGATTAGCATAGATGCTCTTTCAGGTTCAGGTTCTGCTGTTTGGAAACTACTGTTTTTCAGTACAACTACAGTGGAACTGAGAAAGGAAATCAAATAAAGTGAAAAGCCTGTTAAGTAGAATTCAGCGGACACTGGGAATACGTCAAACATGATGAACTCATGGGCAGTGAAAACTCCTGAGTATCAAACTAGCACACACAAATTTTATTATTTTAAAATATGTGTGTCTGTATTTTATAGTTTTTATGATTAGCAAACAATTGTTGTTTGGTTTGAGATGAACAGCATGTGTGTAAACGTGTAGCATCTTGTTAAAAAAAGTATTTTCCAAATGTCTTTCGAACCCTGTTTATTTATAGTTTCACTTCTAACAGTCAGTCACATAGATGTCAGTACAGGCCTAACACGTGTGTGTCTGTGTATGTGTGCGTGTTGTGTGACCTACCTGCTATAGGGTCCATAGCCTCCCTGCCATAGTTGGAACTCTGTGAGGAGCTCTGACTGGTGGAGAGCCCCCCAGTGGTGTTACTGGTGAAGTGCATGTTAGTCCTGCGGGCTCGTGGACCACCCAGCCCACGGCCTGGGTGAAACATCCTCCTCACGTGCCGCACGCCACTGGACTCATCGTAGATGTTTCCATTAAGGAACAATATTCTGTATTTTTGAACATGTTTTAATTATTAATACCTTCCTGGTTGAGTTTTCTTCATTTCTTTGAACTTCCTGCCGTTTTGTTGCCGGGCAGTAAAAGTGACAGTAAAAGTTTTTAAAAAGGATATCAAGTCTCTGGGCGCTCTATGTTCAAGCGTGAGATGAGCAGCAAAATCATCCGTCACATGGTTTGGGTCGCCTCCCGGCAGCGCTGCACATATGGGGCAGATCTGGAGAGTGGGGCAAACGTAGCGTTATCAACACACTTGACTGCACTTTTAACATCTGTTCAAGTGAAATCGGCACAGATTCAAATCCACAGAGAAAACAGGAAGAAGTAGAACCTTGGAGGAGAACATGGATATGGATAAAGTGTGTGTGTGTGTGTGTGGGGGGGGGCAGTGACCAAAACATGCCATGTTTCCAGGGTGTCACCCACTGCTCCTCCCTCACGAATAGGTAAAACGCAGACAAATTTTCTTGAATGTTTGCCATGACAAATGACGCTTACTTGTCCGGGTTTTGCATGACGTGACGGAGCAAGCAGAACAAGGTGCGGTTTGATAGAGATGGTGCTGTGAAAGACAAGTCCTCAGTCCATTCACTTCTCTTTTTAAAACCGTGAGAAATAGACTTTCATTTAATGCGTCACCCGGTCCAGACCCACGTTTCCCTCCATTGTTATTTAACCACTGCGTCGTGATAAAGAATCGTGTTTGTCATTTAGTGAATCAATGCCCCCTGCGTGACTTGCTCTGACAGGGGCAGGGTGTATGAAAGGTTTATTTCTGCTTTATAAAAAGTTGTTGCAATCCGTTCAAATTCAGTATTTCTGGTGAGAGTATTCTTAGCACCAGGCTTAAATAACTGTGTTTTAATGTTTAATGTGTTTCCACAATACATATAATCTTTAAAAGTGCACTTTTCAAAAACTAGGGAAAAGGCCTTGAAATAAATCTGGTGCTTTTAAAAATGTCAGTTGTCATGTTAAGCCTCCAAGCAGTTCATTAATATCAAAAGTAAGCTGTAAGAAGGTCACAATTTACTTGTCAACATTTCTTTTAATGCGGCACTAGAGCTGAAGCTAAGATTCAACCATGATCTTGAAGCAAGTTGCAAATACAGTGGAACAATCGAGACATGAGCGTCCCGACATACCAGTATCCCGAGGAACGAGCAAGGCTTCAAGCTTCAATTTTTGCTTTGAGATACAGGTAGAGATTTGAGATACCAGCACACATACACGCCTCACTCGTTCACTTCACGTGTTTGTCGACTGCCGTACGCATCTCTTACGTAGTGTACGTGAAAGGTACGCTACGGAATCAAGTGTCTACGTATGAGCCTTCCTTCCTTCCTTCCTCCCTCCTCCTCCTCCTCCACACATGCATTGGTTTTTTGTGTGTGTATGTCTCTATAGCAATTGATTTTTTCCCCCCATTGTTATTAGCACTAATAAGGGAGTTTTTTGGCTGGGACGGATACATTTTTTTCCTGTTATTTCTTATGGGAAGGAAATTACCGTATTTTCCGGACTATAAGCCGCTACTTTTTTCCCATGCTTTGAACCATGCGGCTTATATAAAGATGCGGTTTTCTATGGATTTTTCTTCAGGACGACCCCTTGCTAGAATGCCAGGGGAGCGTTCTAGCAAGGGGGGCGTTCTAACGCCAGGGGGTCGTTCTAGCAGGGGGGTGTTCTAACGCCAGGGGAGCATTCTAGCAGGGGGGTGTTCTAACACCAGGGGGTCGTTCTAGCAGGAAGTGCAAAAACAAGACTGACAGGGGAAGTCAGTGCAAAGAAGAACACGCTAGTTTTTATTTAGCACGACAGCGAATTATTTTCACACCCTCACCCCGTCATCATGGAAAGCACACGAAGAAGTTCATATGATGCAGCTTTCAAGTTAAGTTAAGCCATCGATCTGGCTAGCCAGGGAGGAAATAGGGCTGCTGCACGTAAGCTTGGCGTTAATGAATCCATGGTGAGACGTTGGAGACGGCAGCGGGAAGAAGAGAGCAGCGCACCTTCAGAGGCAACTTAACCTCGGGATGACAGTGACACGGAGAGCGACACTGACAGAGAGACTAAAACGGTATGTGACGAAGTTTTTCTGAGGCTGTTCAATTCCGACACTGAAGAAGACGACTTCAGCGGTTTCAGTGCGCAGGAGGAAGATGAATAAAGCCATCAATTACTTTTCTGTTTTGTTCGATCGGTACTTTTACTGCCCTGTTAAAGGCACTGTTCGGAAACAATCAGTTCAGGTATATAAATAAACATTTACGGTACAAAATCTTTCTGTGTTCTTGTGTATCTGGTAAATATGTTATTCCTCAACCTGGATATCGGCTGCTTATAGTCCAGTGCGGCTTATATGTGTACATTTATTTTTGTTGTTGTTTTTTTTTTAATAGTGGGTGCGTCTTATATTCAGGTGCGCTCTATAGTCCGGAAAATACGGTATTTGAGATACGAGCTCTGTCCTGGAACGGATTATGCTCATATCTCGAGGTTCCACTGTATATGTAACGTACTATGACTGATTTTATTTTATTTGTTCAGCTGACAAAAAAAAAAAAAACCCACCACGGGTGTTTGGAAAGACAGCACACAATTTTAGCACTAGCATCAACGTACCACTTCTGTGGAGGTCTCCGTGTGCTCGGCTGCCACGTGTTCCTGCAGCGAAATCTCTGTGTGGCCCATTCTGCCACAGTAGGGACATGTAAAGGCCTGGGGCTGCTCCACTGAGAACGGCTCTCCACCGTAGTACAGGTCTGGAAGACAAGGGAGGCACTCTGTTTGAATATGGTCAAGATTTACAGTCGTCAAAATGTATTCTTTTGTTGTTTGTTGGGTTGGTATTTGCATACACTGCGGGGAAAAAGTTTTCATTTCACTGACACACCTTGAGCTCAAAATACCATCTCATTGTTCAGTGTATTTACTTTACTGTTAGTGTTGATGTGAATGTTTATACTTTAACACTTATGGTCCACATGAGTTTTCTCCTGTGATCTCACACATTCTGGCGTTTTAACAACTTTGTTTCACAGTTACAGTGTGTCCCGAGTGTGAAAGGCCAACATTAACAGATGTCACGATGCTAACCACTAGAACGGATCATTGAAAACAAATGCAATGCACACACAAAGTTAATATCATTTAAAGTAATACTAGACATGATGTTCACCAGTGAATATCTACAGCTGTAGTCAGACCTAGTCTTTTTCTCGCTGTTATCCACAAACCTAAGCCAAAATCACAGTAACAGAGTGTGAAAAACATCCACGTCACATCAATCACTGCTCAGTCTGTGGGGAAAAGTCCTGTCAGAGATCAGGAGCTGGCAGAAATGAAAACTACAGCTCCAGTCTGCTGGTCAGGAAGAATCTGTAACCGAAGGTTGTTTTTAACAGCGCTGATGTGTCAAATCCACACTTGTTCAGGTTTTTTTTTTTTCAGCTTTGGTTTCCATCTGTGTTAGTGTGAAGTCGCGACCAGAGGGAAAAAACATATTTCTTCTGTCTTTTTTCTTTTTTTTTTTAAATCACAGAGGCCGAAATAAAACCCAGCAACATTTTACCACTGAAGAATTGTCTTTCCACTGGTCAGAACTCCACTTATGGGTATGTTTTTCAACATTTTTTGTTGTCTTTCTGAAAATCAGCCCCTGCTTCCATCTGCATAACAATGAACACCAGAGCTGGGTATGTGTTTTAATCTTCTTTTTCTTTCGGCTTTGTCCCTTTTTTCAGGGGTTTGCCACAGCAGATCATTGATTTCCATCTCTCTCTGTTCTCTGTACCTTCTACTCTGACTCCAACTATCTGCATGTCCTCCCTCACTACATCCATATATCTCCTCTTTGGTCTTCCTCTCGTTCTCCTACCTGGTAGCTCCATCTCTAACATTCTTCTACCAATGTATCCACTGTCCCTCCTCTGCACATGTCCAAACCATCTCAATCTGGCTTCTCTAGCTTTTTCTCCAAACCTTCCTGTCTGTGTTGTCCCTCTAATGACCTCGTTCCTGATCCTGTCCATTCTTGTCCCTCCTAAAGAGAATCTTAGCATCTTTAACTCTGCCACCTCCAGCTCCGCCTCCTTTCTTCTGCCTATTGCTACCGTCTCTAAACCATACATCATGGCTGGTCTCGCCACCGTCCTGTAAACCTTTCCCTTCACCTTAGCTGACACTCTTCTGTCACAGATCACTCCTGACACTTTTCTCCAGCTGTTCCATCCTGCCTGTACTCTATTCTTCACCTCTCTTCCACAGTCTCCTCTGCTCTGAACAGTTGATCCTAAGTACCTAAACTCCTGCACCTTCACCACCTCTGCTCCTTGTAGCCTCACTATTTCACTGTTCTCCCTTTCGTTTACACACATGTACTCTGTCTTGCTGCGACTGACCTTCATTCCTCTTCTTTCTAGTGCAAACCTCCACCTCTCTAGGTTCTCTTCTAGCTGCTGCCTACTCTCACTACAGATAACAATGTCATCTACAAACAACATAGTCCATGGGGACTCCTGTCTGACCTCATCTGGGTATGTGTTTTAATATGTTCTTTATTTTCATCAGCGACAGAAATATGTGGTTCGTTTCTGCTACAACAGTCAAGTTATTTCTAAAAGGTGTCTTGTGATCAAAAACAACAATAATAATAACAATATCACTGATAAACAGACTCTGTACTTACCAAAGTCAACTCGGGTTAATATACACTGCACGGGATGCTCTGTCGTGTGTCTAGTTGTAGTCGCACCGCTCTCGTAGCACGATGCACACAGGTCGTAGTCGTAGCATATTAAACATTTGTATCGTCGACCTCTGAAGTTGCCTTTTAAACACGCGTCACAGCTCACGCCTGATGGACAGGAGAGAACACAGGTCACACAGAGGGGGGGAAAAAAATTTAATTTTATCAACATTTAGAAGTTGTATATTTCACACCTCAATGTACACATGGAAATTACGTGGCGTAATACTTACTGCACGCACTGTATTAGAAGTCACGATAATTTAACCGTAACAAAACTTTAGTGTTCAATTCTTTTTCATTAAAAATGATCTTCAATAGGTGGTGAACATGAAAGAGCATTTTAAAAAATAAAAATAAATAAATAATGCATATCAATGTCTATAAATAAGACAAAACTGGAGCAAAGTGTTTGCACACCACAGCAGTTGGTTTTCCATTTAATAAATTCCACTGCATTTGAATTAAACATTTCCCAGTATAATGTCAGCATTAATAATAATAATTTTAAAAAATCAATTTCAGACAGGTATTGTGATTGAATGGAGTGATTACGTCAGTGCAGCTGCGTCAAAGCCAAACAGAAGAGAAAAGAACACGTCTGCAGCAGACTGCAGCTCAGAGGACGGGGACAAAGGGATCAGGCTGCAGAGTGATCTTGGTTGACCCTTAGGTCGTACACTAAGTCTCAAGTCTGACATGGCAGCTGCAGCTGATGTTGATGTCAGTTCACTAATGGAAAAATCCTTAAGAACTTAATCTCCCTCTATATATGAATTAAATAACGTAACTAACAAAAAGTGATGTCCGATAATATTGGCAGACCGATATTATCGACCAGATACAAGCACATTTTGTAATATCTGTAAGAATCATTATCGGTTTTTACTCTGATAATGAAAACCCAGTAACGCAATGCCTGGTTTTCACAAAATGATGATTGCTCTAAAAACAGTTTAACACCCCACCCACAGACCAGTCAGATGCCTGAGTGATCTGAAGAGCTTTTATTGAAACACAGTTGCAGTAACTCGTTCTTAACTCGACAAAAAGTTAATATCGGACATCCTTACTTACAACTACAGCGGTTTGGCACTAAATTGGTGGTTTCTTCTTCAAGATCCTGTGGCAAATTGAGTCTCTCAAAAAAATGTTTTTTTTTTAATTAAAGAGTCATAACAGTAATGGAGGAGTGTTGCAATCAATTTAAAATAAAGAAAAATATTATTAATTAATAATATAATAATATAATATAATTAATATAATATAATTAATAATATTATTAATATTAAAAATATTATTATATACCTAAAGTTAAAGTTCCTTGATTGCACCACAACATGGGTCATCTTACATTTGTATGTGAACATTAAGTAATTTATTTTTTCCAATTCTAATCAATAAAACTGACTAGAATTTCTAGAAAGAAAAAGTGATTGTGACGTTTTTAATAATGATGATGATGGAGTGAAAAATGCTGTAAAAAATATGATTGTTTGTTTTTTTGTTTTTAAATCAAGCTAAGCTACATTGTCAAGTCAGTTGGTGATATAACGCTATACATATGATGTCACTGCTCTAGACTGCTGACAGATGCCTCCCTGTCATTACAGCCATTCGTGTGAAGGCCGTCACCTCGAGTGTCACACAGGCAAAACAGCACCTTATGTTTTGAACCCTATGCTATCTTGATTGACTTGGACAGTCGGCCCACCACGGTGTGTATAGTATGTCAGCGGACTGTCGGCACCTCCTCATATATAGTGGCGAAGTTCTTGGAAGCTCACAGCCAATGGGAGCCTGCTGTGCTGGGCAGTAGCACCAACGTAAATGACAGCAACCACAGGAACCACACAGTGTCGGCAAGGTAACAAATCTTGATCACTACCCAAGACGAGGACAACAACACAAACCTGGAACATAAAGGGCCGCACAGGCCTGAGGAACCATAGATGTTGGCCAATTACAACATTAAAACAAAGATTAATTGTATGGGAGGGCGGGAAGGCGGTAATGAGCCGGTTCGCCATTTGCAAAGAGGCTGATAAAACTAAACTAACTTTACAAAGGGGAGTGAGTGGATGAACATACACTGGGTTCTACGTGATTCCAACAGCGAACTTCCAGCCCGACAACAAGGTTGGCCACAAGGACGAGGTGAATGTTGGTCTGCTGGATGTGAGCTGTATAAACAGTGATTCAAGGATGAACTTTGACTTCGGGGCGGTTCAACTCACGCTAACTATAATATTAACGATATGACACGTTTAGATTTGATCCACGACAATCTGGAATTCCTCTGAGCTACTCTCCGGTGTGTTTCCCTGATCCCGGCACTCCCCCTTTCACTCAGCCCGGTGCTCGCTCACCTGCAGCCTATCAGCGGTTAGCACGCAGGCTAGTTAGCATATTTAGCTGACGTTTACTAGGCTTTTTCTCTGATGTGTGGTTTCATGAAATACGCAAGAGTCCACTGCGACACTGTCTGCACCACATAATAATTTACATGCAGCCATTAGCAGCGACTCCGTTGAAACGAACACACACACACACAGACAGAACTGCAACCTCGCTGCTAACGCTAGCTAACGCGAAGCTGCAAAACAAGAACCCGTCCGCCAGCTTCGGTTAGCTGTCGCTGCTTTGACAGCGTTTTCATTAGAAATCCCGAGCCGCTCACTGCTGCTGTGGTCCAGTGTTCACTCACCTTCATGTCGGGACATCCTACGAACACTGACACAGCCCCCTGCTCGGGCTCCCGGGCTTGCACTGAAGGTTAATACAGGTGAAGTGAGAGAAGAGACGCCGGGGCTGGCTGCCTGTCCCTGGCCTCTTCCCTTTTGAAAGATCCGGTCTGCCCCCCTCCGCCTCCTGCTGTGTCACTGTCCGCTACGGTGCTCATGTGTCCACAAGATGGCGCTGCTGCTTCGTAGGTAGTTGGGTTTGGCGCTTGAGCTCTATCTCGTTCTATCTCAGTGTCTACATATATATTTACATTACATCTACATTTTTGGAACTGTAACAAAACAATAAAGGTCACGATCATTGTCTTGGTAATTATCAGTTAATTATTAAATTATTATCTCTATTGTCTTCTATTTCATACTTTTCTTCACTCTTCCTCATATTGGTATTATGACGCATTGGCATCAAATTTTCAAACTTTTTTTTTCTCTTACTCTTTTCATTGTCCATTGTCCTCCTCTGTGTCTTTTCCTCTTCTTTGTCAACTTTTCCTTAGTCATCTGCTTAGCCGTTGTCATCTTTGTGATCATTGTTGCCATGTCATTGTCATTGATTCTTCATCTTTTGTGTAATTGTTTATTTTGTTCTTTTATTCATCATCATCCTTGAGAACTTTTTGTTCCCTCCTCTACCAACAAACCCACATTCTGTTACTGTTGAACAGTGTACAACAGCGTTTAGGACTTATGTCTACTATTCAATTAATGACTTAAAACTGTTATAGAATTTTATAACAAGAAAATATATGTTCCTTATGTTGAACTGGTCCAAGTGTCTATTTTTTGCTACATTGAAACAGTCAGTAAGAACACAGTAAAATGCAAGTGTTAACATTTTGCACTCCCTGCTCTTTCTGCTCTCACTGCACAGCAGCCAGCATGGGTCAGTTGATTTTTTTAAAAACATTTCAATGTAGCCCATTGTTGGATCCTGTCAGGCAGACCTTGCAAAGCAAAATCTGGACATCTCCGCTGAGTGCAGAGTCAAAGTGGTTCTCAGACCAAGCACCTGGCTGTGAGTTGAGGATGGAAAGAATAACATGCCTTGTGCATAACAAGTACCTTTTACTTTGAATTAATAGGGCAGTGTAACAAAGATATTCTGGGAAATACTTGAGCTTAAGTGCAGCTGGAAGTCTAACAGGATTTCTTTTTTTTTATTTAAATCATGTTTTTTTTTTTTACTTTTAGAAATATTTATTTTGTGTATTTAAAAACAGTGGTGCTTTGGCCCAGAGGCATTGTCTCTGTCATTAGTGTGCAACCCCAGGGTTCACCTTCTGGGCAAGATTGAATCCCAGTTAGGGAGGTTGGTACCTTCCAGTGGACTCACCACCCATGGTGAGTGGAGACTGCTGTCCCCCGTGACCTGGTAATGGATAAGCGGATGAAAATGAATGGATTTATTAAAAACAACAAGTGCAGAGGTATGCCTCCATGTAAATGTACTAGTTTTAAAATGTTTGGTTTAAACACTACAATTAAGACCATCACATTTATTTTTTTTTATTTTTTTTTTGTAATTTGTCTCTTTTTATCTGAATAATTACAATGTATGTGGAAAATTTGTGATCAACCATAGAGCATGTCAAAGAAATGAAGTACCTGAGGAACTACAGTACAACTGATAATGATGATTATGAATGAGTACAGTACAATGTCATTGTTGTCTTGGACACACGTCTGTCCCGTCACAACCAGTGGTGACAGTGATAGTGACCCTCGGGACATCAGTGATGTTTAAGAACTAATTGTTTCTGTAAGGATAAGCAGAACTGATTACGTATGTTGCACTGCAGCATCTGGTCACGCAAGCTTGAGGGTTCTTCAAAGGGTCAGCCTAATGTGCCTCGGAACAACAGTACATATGCAGGCTTTGAAGACTTGTGACTAAAGAGTGGCATCAACAATGTCACATAGGTTTAGTTTCCACTGACAGTAGTGAGATCTGCAGGTATGAGCCCATACACTGGGATTTGTGTTGGTGATACAGTAGCAGTTTAAAGTTTATTAAAACCGTGGATGAGATGTGTGGAGATCATGTCAGAGAGAAAAGTTTAAATATTTAGATAGACGGTAAAAAAAAAGTAACGCATGATATTTAAAAAAAAAAGATTAATTTGCAATTTGTGTGACTTTAACATAACTTAATGCAGCAGATTGGATAGAAGTGGACACCACTAGGTCACAGGTCACCACGCGACTCATTTTGCACACAGCTTTACAGTGTTGGACCTGCATGTTGTTGGACTTCTCTTTTAAAACAAACAACACAAAGAAATAGATAGATAGATAGATGATGAACGGATGGATGGATGACAGACAGATGATACATAGATAGACAGACAGATAGATAGATAGGTAGATAGATAGATAGACAGACAGACAGACAGACAGACAGACAGATAGATAGATAGATAGATAGATGGATAGATGAAGGCTGGATGGACAGATGATGGAGGATGGATGGATGGATGGATGGATAGATAGACAGACAGACAGACAGATAGACAGACAGACAGACAGACATACAGACAGACAGACAGACAGATATACAGACAGACAGACAGATAGATAGATAGATAGATGGATAGATGAAGGCTGGATGGACAGATGATGGAGGATGGATGGATGGATGGATAGATAGACAGACAGACAGACAGATATACAGACAGACAGACAGATAGACAGATATACAGACAGATATACAGACAGATATACAGACAGACAGATAGACAGACAGACAGACAGATATACAGACAGACAGACAGACAGACATACAGACAGACAGACAGACAGACATACAGACAGACAGACAGACAGACAGATGGACAGACAGACAAATATACAGACAGACAGACAGACAGACAGACAGACAGACAGACAGATAGACTAGCTTATGACCTCATAAGAACCTTTTGACTCAGTGCATGTTGGAACTAGCGGCGTGACCGTTACTTGACTTTGTTTTCAAACACACTCCAAAGCAGTTCAGGTTCAGGTAGCAGAGGCTGCCGCTGTGCTGGTGGCAGTGGGTGACACTTCCTACTGGGGGGCTCCATGCATTTACACAACACTGGTGTTATTGTAGCAGGCTGCCTTCCATGAGGGCACCCTTTCTTTGGCTGTTTCAAATTGGTTGGTGAGCTGAACCGATGGGCTGGCCTCGTGCCAGTGGTGTGGGGACGATGCTTTTAAAGGGGGGAAGGAGGGAGCATTCCTTTTCCTCCCCCCATCCCTGCCTGCAGCCTTTTGAACAGTTCTATAGATACACAGGGGTATTGTGAGTATTGTATTTGTGCTCATTTTTGAATTACATTTGTAGTATTTTAAAGATACTTCAATTTGCTGATGCCCTGTGCAGAGTTTTATATTGTGGTTGAGAACCCCCTCCCCTTTCGATTCTATATACCAGTCATTTAAGGACAAGTATTCAGCAACATCTGCTTATTTTTCACATATATACCATATATAAATGCAACCCCCTTCACCTTAACTGACAGCTCACTGACCACAGTGAGTGTTCTGGTTTGATCTTTGTTTTACATTTTTCTCGAGAAATGAGAAACTTATGGCATTAATGTCTGAGTAAGCCGTTAGTCACTGTCTGCTGGCTGTCTGTGGTGGTTTGACACAGAGCGCCTGTGGTGTTCGGAGCTGTACACCCCCCACAGTGTTGGGCCAAAATGTTAAAATAACTCTGTGTAGCCCATCAATTTAAATACTTTATGTCCATGTTATAAAATGTATGAAACTATGTTAAATTAAAATTACAACAGAACAGTTTTTTTTAAATTATTAGTCTTCTTCAAATTCAAGCATTTACACCTGCTACTTTTTACTATTTTCATCTTTTGGTTGTAATGTGAAATGCGGTGATCCAAACTGGAGGCATATTCAGAGACAATGCTTTTCCTGATGCAAATGTATAATGAGAGGTTTATTCTAGTCCTACTCTGGTGCCACAGCTATAAAAGCATCAGCCAAATTAATCCGAACTTAAACATTTTAACCCAGAACATAATTAGATATCGGGTGACGTGTACATGTTCAGGCTTGCTCAGGGTGTGATACGGAAACACATCCTCCTGTGACCTTGTCTTGTAGTCTCAGTGATTCTTTGAAGCTCGTGGTTGCATTCTGTTCGCCAACAATGGCCCGTGAATAGGCCAGTTTGCGTCAGCTTCACTACACGCCCACGGAGAACCCACGCACGACGAGAGAAGCCTACTACGGCTTCCTTAGCTTGCCACGCCTCACAACGTAAACGAATGGGGGCTTGACCAATGGGGTGCGCCGTAGATCAGCCGATGATCAGATGATTGAAAGGGGGAACTGTTTAAAACTGTAATGACACCCTTACTCCACTTCATACATCTGCCGAGCGGCGTAGCCAGTGCAGACGCGCACCAGAACTCACCAGCGGCTCCGCTGCTCTTTGTCACCACTGCATCTGAACTCATTCACCCATCGTCCACACCAGCACCAGCAGCAGCAGGAGTCCGCCAACACAAAAGACTGTTCTTATTATCACACACATCTGCATCCCGGACTGAGAAATGAACCATAGAGTTCTGTTCACGTGGATTTTTGTGCACTGTGTCGCTTCGCTCCTCTATTCTATCCACGGAGAAAACGCTGTTCCCGAAGGTAAGAAAGCAAAAAAAAAAAACCCAAAACAACCATTGTGTTCTTCTGTTCATTCACTGCTGTCATTCATTCACTCTGAACTCCACATGGGGGAAAAAGATGTATATTTAACCTGCGCTTTTAATAACGACAACAACAAAAAACACTCATCTTTATTGAAAACCTTATGTGATTTAGGTTTGAATTATAAGTGTAGAAAAACGGGATGGATTTGAACTCCACAGTCTGCGACGTGTCCTTTTTGGGAGAGAGTGGGACACGGGAGCAAATCCACTCTCAACGCCACGTCTGTGTAAACTGTGCGGAAATATATTTGCTGAACGAGCTTCTGCATTTACCTTTGGCTGAAGTCATTTCGGCTTCATGTTAATCCACCAGTGACGTTTGTGGCCGCAGTGACACCGGTTTAAACCTATCCACCGACTCCGGCCGACCGGCTCTGGAGCTGCGCTTTCCTTCATTTCTCACAAAATTTTACCATTGGAACACAAGGTTTAAAGGTCGGACGTGTGTCGGGGGTGATAGGGGTTCTAGATGTTCTAGAAGAAGGCGGCAGAGCCGGTGACATTTGGGCTCTACGCCTGCGGCCCCAGTACAACTTGTTCTCAGCCTTTATTATCGTAGCAGGTGTGGGTTGGCGGTTATCCAATCCAGTCATTACGGAGTCTGAGCCAAACTGAAGAATCAATCCACTATTTAATATTTCGTATCAACTACAAGTTCCTCACTTAGGGGAGCCATAGTAAATTGATTTTTCTACCCCTAGAGGTCACTGTATATTACAGATATTTACGGTTTGGTTTTACCGTATGGATTTGTTACATCTTCACTTGTTTCTTTCGAAATTTAAATGTTCAAATATATTAAGTCAAATCCTGAGTGTATTCACACACGCTAACAGCATTGGTTTTGCCCAAGAACACATTGGCATGTAGGACCAAGGGGATTTTTGACTTATTAGACTAGCCACAACTACTGTGGATGTTAAGAAAAAACATAAAAAAACGCAAGCTTTATTTGTTAAATTTATTAAGTATTTAGTATTTATTAAGTCAAAAAGTTCTAAGACAGAAGTTGTATTTTGAAAAGGTGTTTATTTTAACAACTAAAACCTGATAAGACACACTCCTGGTGCTGTCTCCAACAGCGTTGACAGTTTTAATTGTCTTAAATTTGTCTAATGTGAAGCTGTATTTTTATCAACTTTTTTTTTTTTTTTTTTTTTAGCAAATCTGAAAACCTAACCTAAATCTGTCTGAGAACATACAAGTATATCTTAAAGCACAAAAATGATCCCATGTCTTTATCTCTGTTTTCACCCATCAGGAGAAAATGATGAATTGAATAAATTATCAGAAAACAAGGTTCTCGACAGATCAATCAAGTACAACATGAGGAAGAGTTTGGATCTGGACCAGGAGGGCTGCTACCTGCAGACTGGCAAAAAGGAGTGTCTAGAGAAGTGTAGCTTCAACGCTACAGCCAAGACCATCTTCATTATCCACGGCTGGACGGTACTTATCAGCCTTACTGATTTTCCCTCGTCCTATCTCCTTGTGTGTGGGTTTATATGAAAGAGAGCGTCATGAGCATCATGTGTCTCCATGGCGGTAGTCTTGCCTTAATGTTGCTACTCTAATGCTTTGATTGCTGGAATGTGTCATACAAATGTGAAATAACAGAGCAGTGTGTGAGAGGGAGGGTATCACAATACAGCAGTCTGCCTGACTCTAGATGACCCCCCCTTTTTTTTTCTTTCTCTCTTTTTCAGATGAGCGGTATGTTTGAAAACTGGATGCACAAACTGGTCTCTGCAGTGATGCAGCGTGAGAATGAGGCCAATGTGGTGGTTGTTGATTGGCTCTCCAGGTCTCAGCAGCTCTACCCTGATGCAGTCAACCACACCCTTGGTGTGGGTCTTGATATTGCCAACATGCTAAACTGGCTTCAGGTGTGTGAAATTTTTGTGATTTCGTTTTGCCTTTTTTAGTGTATATGATTCATGTCAGCGCAATGTTTTTTTTTTTTTTTAGTGTTTATTGTGGTAAATGGAGAGTTTCTGTAGCAACAGCTCTACATGGAGTACTGTTGAGCACATGCTCTGCTTTCCCATGATGCACGCTGATTCTATGTGTGTGTCTTCAAACAGCGTAAATGGATCTCCTGTGAAGTCAGCACACGCTGTGCATTTGAGTCATAACAGACTGTGTGAGATCAATGCCATTTTGGCAGTTGTGGGTTTAATGCTGAGCAACAAAGAAGCAGCCGAGCAAACCTGCAAATCCACAGTACTAGTTTCTGTGGTATGCTGAAAGTAGTGTAGTACAAATAAAATAATACTATACATAGGACAAAATACTTACATAGGACTTTTAATCATTTTTATTCCACAATTTAGGACGTCTTTCAGAGGAGCAAATCAAATGCCAAAACTCTCCTAGGTACAACTTTGGTTGCTTTCAGTACCAGGCCCTTGTTACTTTCTTTATAAACAGTAGTGAATCAAACATGGATAACTGTCTGTTTAGCTGTAAAGCTAAAACAAGAAACCCCATTTAGTTGAATTGTCACTGAATTAGTCAATTTAACAAATGGCTTCTTAGGGAGGATGTAGGCATCAGGCCGTGCACTCGTGGACCTGCACAAAGAGAATTCCCTGGAGACTTAGTGAGGCAGATGGCGGAGGAGCTCCATTCAGGACACCTTCAGTAGATTTGTTTCGGGTTAACTAAACTTGGCTCAACTGCCGACCCAGTTGGTTTTAACTGGCTGAAACATAGCATTTATTCATTGTGGGTTGGAAATGGCAGCTGAACTGATCGGAGCATAACTCTTCCTTCTAACAGGAAGAACTGCAGCTGCCTCTGCAGAATGTGCACCTCATTGGCTACAGTTTAGGAGCTCATGTAGCTGGCTATGCAGGGACACATGTACAAGGCACCGTTGGCAGAATTACTGGTGAGTTTAGTGTGAAACCACAAATCTTTAAATCCAAGAATGTTGCTGCTTTATTCCCCTGACCTTTTGTCTCATGTTTGTGAACAGGACTGGACCCAGCAGGACCAATGTTTGAGGGCGTTGAAGAAGAGAAGCGCCTCTCTCCAGATGATGCCGACTTTGTGGATGTTCTGCACACGTACACCAGAGAGGCTTTAGGTGTTAGCATCGGGATCCAGCAGCCAATCGGAGACATTGACATCTACCCCAATGGTGGTGATATTCAGCCGGGTTGTGCACTGGCTGATGTGCTGTCACTGACGGGAAGTAAGTGTTTGCCGTTGGGTGTGTTTCCCTGCTCCACACAACACCAACTCTTCTGTGTATGATTATAAGGAGTGAAGCTGACGTGCCTTTGTTTCTCTGCAGATTTCATGGATGTACTGAAGTGTGAGCACGAGCGTTCTGTACACTTGTTTGTAGACTCTCTGATGAACAAGGACCACATGAGCTTTGCTTACCAGTGCACCGGCCCCGATCGTTTCAAGAAGGGCATCTGCCTCAGCTGCCGTAAGAATCGCTGCAACAACATCGGCTACAACGCCAGAAAAATGCGCAAGAGGCGCAACACCAAAATGTACCTGAAGACACGAGCAGACACTCCCTTCGGTGGTGAGTTTACAACCACAGACATGAACTAATAATTTCCTGTCATTGTTATCATTTACTACTACACTTACAGTCAAAGCAAAACTGATAGTCATATCAGCAGTTGATTTATGGTATAACAGTTACCCTAATAAACTACTACTGTTCACAACTGTTTAACATCAATATCATTTCTTTTATCTTAAGGCTACCATTATCAGATGAAGATGCACGTGTTCAACAGGAAGCATTCGGACCATGCAGATCCCATCTTCAATGTGAAGTTATATGGAGCCAATAATGATACCACCAACCTGTTGGTTGACGTGTAAGTAAAAGAAAAACATCAAGTTGATTGTTTTTATTTTTTTAACACCAGCAGAGTTTTGACTACTGATTTACAATGTATTTTATTATATATTTAAATTTAAAAATCATGTCCATATATGTTTGTGCATTGATGTAATTTTTTCAGATGTTAATTATGCCTATATATTTTAGAAACATTTCCCGAAACATTTGTTTTTAATTATAAATAACTGAAGTTTTTTTTTTTTTTTTTTTTTTATCATTCTTTAGCCAAGATGGCAAAATCGGCCTAAATCTGACCAACACCTTCCTGGTTTTTACTGAGGATGACATCGGTGACCTGCTGAAGATTCGTTTGGTCTGGGAAGGCGAGGCAGACTCTTTGGGTTCCTTCTGGAAGTACTTTAAGAGTTCACTGTGGTCACAGAAAACCAAACCTATCCTTGCGGTACGACGGATTCGTGTAAAAGCAGGAGAGACACAAAAGAAGTAAGTGTCAGTGGGAAACGCTTTGTCTTCTCCGAGTCTGGTATCACTGTAGAGTGACAGGGTTTGACATTGTTTTTCTCTTTTTCCTCTTCCAGGTTTGCTTTTTGTGCAGAGGACCTCTCAAAAATTGAGATTTCACCTGGTGAATCTAAGACCTTTGTGAAATGTCCTGATGGTTGGGATGTCAAACCAAGGAAAAGGTAAGGAATGTTTAGATTTTGGAACACTAGGCGAAGTAGTTATGCAATAGATATTAATTACTGTTAGATTTGAGTGTGACTTATCTGCTGGTTTGTGGTTTACAGAGTGCCCATGTAAAGGTAACAATACTGCACTCCCTACAACTAATCCACCATCGCCATGGGGACCCGACGTGGATGGAGCACTTCCTTCTCTTTATTTGAGCACTTTTCTGTTGGAGGAAGGTCGATCAGCGCATGGTGATGAGGAGCCTTGGAAATTGTTAAATGGTTTCCAATGGTTCCAGGAATTCTGGGACTCTGGGCTCCGTCCAGCGAATCAGGACGGTGGCTGACAGGCTGGAAGCAGACACAATCTTGCACAGTAGATTGCCTGCAGAATATAAGATAATGTTTTTCGGTCGTTTGGAGGAGAGTTCAGATCTGTAACAGTGGGACTAACAGCAGCAAATGTAGTGGCTTGACTGTGTATTTTTAAATGTTCTATTTATGAAAGAAAATTGAAGTACTGCTAGACAATTGTTATTTATCGGCACATCCCAGATGCAGTATTTGTGTTTGTGCGCATTTTTATGAATGTGTTTATCTGTGTGTGAAGAAAATGTGCCTTTCTGCTGAGATTACTGATACACTGTATAAATGAAGGAAATACCTTATACAATCAGTCTGAGGTTTTGTGTGTTGTAAAAGTTTGTGTATGGCTTATTCCTGGGTTGTGTTCATGTGTAAATAATGTAGATTTTTTTGAATAAAATGTGCACCCTTTTTACTTGTAGATACAGTTGTCTTGTATTTCTCCATTAGCCCTAACATGTAATGACACCTGCCTCTTTAAATATCATGATTACTGTAAATTCACTTAATAATATTGATAGCTCTGAATGAAAAAAGCCAGGTGGGACTGGTCGTGGTGTGGAGGTGAAATATAAACAGACTGGATCTCACCTCTAAATTTGCCATTGCCTAGGGCGCTGAATTTGCCCCTCTTCTTCGTGTTATTCCGAAGGAGAAACGGCAGGTGAGGCAGCTAGATAGCTTCACCTCGGACTGTGCTCTCACAATTATTGCGGTATTGTCTCCATACATAAGTCATCAATATTTGTTTGCAAACACGTTTATTTTAGACTCTGGCTTTCTACTATGACTCAAATATATTTAATAAGCACCTGATTAATATTTAATTTCGCCGATGCTACATATTAACCCCACTGTAAAGACGAAAATTGAGGCAAACAGTTTCGCCAAAAGAAAGGAAAAAAAAACAATTCAGTGTTGACATTAAATAAAATATGCCTTGCCTTTTCTTGTTATGTGTTTGTTGAACAGTCTGTATAAAATGGTTAAAGCAATAGATAGTTTTCCTATGATGTCACGCTACTACCGTAGTCCATCTTGTGGGGCAACAGAGTGTATAGATATATATTAAATACACTAAAGAACACTGATAATGGTAAATACCTGTGTTGTGAGGGGTTGTACCAACCAACCCATATCCAGGCAAAAGGCATTACAAAATCTGTTCTGAACACTTTATTTCGGGTAATTACATTATATTTTTATTTAATTTATATGTTCAATGTCAGTAAAATTAAAATATATTAAAATGTACTTTGCATACATGACAAATGTGCACAATACAAACATAAATTGTCAGCTGACCACAGTTCATATCATTATGTCCATGTACAATCAAACTATTTTTATTTTAATGAAGAAAGTAAAAAATACATTTTTTTTTTTTTTTTTGTGATTTTGGAAAAAAGTATAATCTAGTCAATAGTAGAACATGATTTTTTCATGTAAACTGTTATTCTAATGATGTTCACAAAAGACATACATCCGTACATGCCACTGTGATTTTTACATACCCACGCTGTATTATTTGGGTGTTAATAAATACCGTATGATATACATTGTCTGGCCAACTTTCAATGTCCGTCCGTAAATAATTTTCCTAATTTGTGCATAGCAATGTTTTTGATTTCTAATTTTTTTCAATTTCTTCCATAAGAATTAGGTTTTTGTAGGAATTAAAGTTCAGTGTCAGGAAAGATGTACGGCTATGAATGTGTCATCCTAGGGGGTGGGAGGCATTACAAGAAAAAGCACCATTGTGTTCATAGTACAGCACTGTTACAGAATTACTGTTACGTGGTGAATTGCTGATGGCTTTTTTTTGGTAAATGCCTTTTTCAAATCTAACTCTGAAGGAGTCCGTGCCTTTACGGCCATGAAACTCCCCACACTTACAGTAGTATACAGCAATATCTACCACCTTTTGGGAGAGTGACAAGCTCTGGCACAACAAACAAGTTTGTTCAGTTTTACAATGTTGAATAGGAAATGTGCCTGGAATATTAACTTGCCATTTTTTCCTTAAGGTATTGTTATTCAAAGTACTGATTATGAATTTTTGGAAAGTAAATAATCAGGAATGTTGGAGCTGGAGAAAAGTGTCAGGAGTGATCTGTGACAGAAGAGTGTCAGCTAAGGTGAAGGGAAAGGTTTACAGGACGGTGATGAGCCCAGCCATGATGTATGGTTTAGAGACGGTAGCAATAGGCAGAAGACAGGAGGCGGAGCTGGAGGTGGCAGAGTTAAAGATGCTAAGATTCTCTTTAGGAGTGACAAGAATGGACAGGATCAGGAATGAGGTCATTAGAGGGACAACACAGACAGGAAGGGTTGGAGAAAAAGCTAGAGAAGCCAGATTGAGATGGTTTGGACATGTGCAGAGGAGGGACAGTGGATACATTGGTAGAAGAATGTTAGAGATGGAGCTACCAGGGAGGAGAAAGAGAGGAAGACCAAAGAGGAGATATATGGATGTAGTGAGGGAGGACATGCAGATAGTTGGAGTCAGAGTAGAAGATACAGAGAACAGGGAGAGATGGAAATCAATGATTTGCTGTGGCAACCCCTGAAAAAAGGGACAAAGCGGAAAGAAAAAGAAGAAATAATCAAGAATGTTGATGACATAAGTACTAACATTCCTTTAGTAGTGAAGTATGTGCTGGTACATGTACAGGTAAGATAACATCCGGCTGAGCTTTTCCCTCCTCATTACCAACTTCATACCTGAAAACTTAGATCACAGAAACTCAAATATTTCACACCTCTGTGTTCACCTAAATTCCAGAAGGATGAGTAAGACAAACAATGTACTATATGGCGGTTTCACTTCCAAACGGTCAAGATTTTACTATGATAACCCAGACAAGTCTTCAACAGGTATATTACTGTGTTAAGATGATGACTCACTTTAGTTTTACAGTCTCAGAGTAGCTTAAATCCTCTTAATAGCATCTGCCTCCCCAAAGCCTCCCACCTCTTTAGTCAGCGTCTGGCCATTGACTTTAAAGCCTTCCAAGTCTGTAATGGTAACATCTGTGTTTCTCAGTCTATAAAATTTAAACCAAAGCTGTTTATAGTGTGATATCGGTTAAACTTCAGTAAAAGCAGAGATCAATGTTCCTGGATTAGCATAGTTTTAATGTGGTGTGCATGAGTGGATGAAGAATGTTTAGCTAAAAGTGAAAGACATCAACCAGAAGGAATTATCTAATATGTAGTTCACTTCTATCTTTGTTTTTATCTCTAATGTCAACTTTAAATTATCAACAAGTGTCCACATGGCAGCAAAACTGAAAAAGGACAGAAGGGTGTTCCCCCATAAAATAAACATCTTCAACAAAGAAAAACAAGTTCTAGGTATGAGAATAACAATTGAGCTGTCTTCTATTTCTAATCAAAAAGGGAACTGAAAAATTCTGGAGAAAGAGGGTTTTTTTTTTTTACATCCTACCACTACTAAGGAAATGATGTGAAGCCACAATTGAAACTACATAAATGTGTAATATTTATTTAAAAAATGATTTTCTTTGTCCAATGTAACGTCATTATCTTAGTTTTTGAAACACTAATGATGACATCTGATGATACTAGTATGAACCTTTTGGGGTTTTTTTTGCCTTGGTTTTCATTTTTTTTTTGTGGGAGTGTGCAGATCCTTAACTACTTGTAAGAAACACAAAATGTTTCAGTTTAATTTTTTTTTATTTTTCTTCTTTCCATTGTTAGGTTTTATTGTATAATGCATTTTATGCCAGTTAGTATTTGGTCTGTTGAAATAACTCCAACCTAAAAAAATCAGACTAGAAGTTACCTGTTGGTTTTAACCTATAGATACATTTAAACTGAGGGTTTTCTTTGACTTGGCGAGGTTATGGCCTGAATATCTGATTACTGATCTGTATTGTGATTGAGAGTTTGAAAGTTTGAAAGATGCCATTTAAAGGAAAACAGAATAAGTACGACTGGGGTCTAACGTATACACGGTTGTTTCTAGTGTTGCTGTTTGTTGGTGATATTACATTTATTTGTAGAGTTTCAGCTAAATGGGATAATATTTTGATAATTTGCCATTTTATTATTTTAAAGAAATGGCGCCTTGAAATATTGACGTACTCCTGTAAAGTCTAGCCACGCTGTCATTGCCACAGTGTGTTATGATAATGTTTGCGTTTCTGTGGCACTCGAGACTTTTTTTTAGAGCCAATGAATACGTACAGCACCACAAGAGACAAAGGCAGATGGGTTGGACGAGGGACCGGTCACCTCACATGATCCAGACTGTCCACACACTGTGATGCAAGTCAATGTGAGGAGCTGTTGAAAGAAGTATGCGAGGCGTGTCATGACATCATAGTGGTCCCAGTGGAAACACTGCCCTCTCTATGCCCACAGCATGTAAGACACTGACTGTAACGCCAGTAAAGTGGTTGTAGCATACCAGTCATCGTCTGGCAACAGTTGAAAAGACTGAGGTCATGTGGTCTACCAGTGTTCCCGTTAGGTCGGCGTCCTACAAATTTTGAAGAATCAGGATTGTGGGTTGGTGTGTTGTTTTGAAGGAATGCCTTCAGGAACCTAATCATTTGAGAACATAACCCACGGAAAATCCAATCTGTGAATAATATTTTTCTGAATAAAAAAGTTTGTTTTTCCAGTTGTCAGTTAATACACCACACCGACTCACTTATCTGAGTCTCCAGCTGATGTCACTCTGGTTGGTTTATAGAAGCTGGGTTTTTTTTTCTGAATCAAAAACAGATGTTCTTCTCTTATGTGGCTCATCCTGCCAGTGCAAACTATAAAGTTGTGATTAAAAGTTTCGAGTCAGATCAACTTAGATCTCCTTAAGGGTAAATGCAGCTCAATAGACTAGTGGTGCAGCACAGATGCTAATATAGCACTGGTGGTCTGTCATTGAACTAGTTTAACAGTGTTGCTTTTGGTCGTCCAGGTTCTGTTTCAGCTCAACCCCAATTGATTACATTTGGCTATGTTTCAGTCCTGCCTACCTACGTGGTGCTTGGTACAGTAATACATACAGTTTTCTAAGTGATATAATCATAATCATTTTAGTTCAGTGACTCGATAAACCAGAGGTGTCCATACTTTTTCGACTTGGGAGCTATTTTCAAATGACCGGGGTAAAGTGATCTACCTACATTTAAAACTGTAAATATATATTTACTACTTTGATTAAATGGCTGTAATTCTATGGCACAATACCGTCTGACTCAACACTTCTATGGTGCTTACTTTAGCCCTAGTGATTAGTATCTTAAAATACAATTAAATCTATCATTTTAATTCTTTCTTCAAATGTAATTGCTCAGGATCTACCAGCACTCACTATGAGATCTACTGGTAGATCCCCATCTACTTATTGGACAGCCCTGCGATAAGCCATATTCACTTGTATCGTAC